TAGTAGTAGTAGTAGTAGTAGTAGTAGTAGTAGTAGTAGTAGTAGTAGTAGTAGTAGTAGTAGTAGTAGTAGTGTTATGCAGGTTATAATTATTATTAAGGAATATATTAGGACGGATTTATGAGATCAAAACAAAAACCTTTGTCCGTCATTTCTCAGATTGACCAGGCGACACTTGGCATGCCCAGCCGTGAGTACTACATGCATCGAAATCAGGCTCACCTGCAGGCCTATGTCCGGTTCATGAGCGATGTAGTGCGTCTCATGGGGGCTACTGGTCCGGACGTCACTTCTCAGCTCAATGACCTGCTCGACTTTGAGACCAAGTTGGCTAATGTGAGTTCTACCTTGTGCTTTTTTGGGAAAAGCTTTGGTGTTTTTTTAATAGTTTTTTTTCAAACAACAGTGAGTGTATGTAATATATTTATATATTTATGTGTGTGTGTGTGTGTGTGTGTGTGTGTGTGTGTGTGTGTGTGTGTGTGTATGTGTGTGTGTGTGTGTGTGTTTGTGTTTGTTAGTGTTTGTGAATGAGAGTGTGTGTATGTGTGTGCTCTTGTGTGTGTGTGTATATATGTGTGTACGTGTCTGTGTATGCGTGTGTATATGTATGCGTGTGTGTGCGTGTGCTTGTGGTTTCTACTTGATCTCTTGACTCAGAACAGCACTGGAAAATTATAGTGAGCTTAGAAAACCACGTATCAGAAATAAAAACAAATCCCCTTCAATGTTCAATGAGGTACAAATAATGGTCGATCGAAAACACAATCGGCACCATATTGTTATTGTTAATTAATAAGCAGAGGCCTCCAGATATATTGGCCTTCTCCCACGGAACAGAATCTGTTGACGGAGAGTCTTGAAAATCTCACATTTAATTTAAGAACATCTATTTCGGATAGTCGAACCAGGGTCATTAGCGCCACGGACTTCCTCTTTGAAGACCTAGAAAATTAGAGTACGGAAAAAATGGCAGGTTTCAGCTGCTGAGATACATAGATGTTTACGAAAGGGTATGAACTCGGCAGACAAAAAGTGTAAAGTCTTGAATTCGAAGACAGAAGGCAGATGATTACTGCTCATGGAGCAAGCTTGTCGACAACAACAAAGTCTTCACGCTTCACAAGTATCACAGCCCAGTGTCTCTTGCTATTGGGAGGTATAACTGCGACCCCCACTGTGAGGGTGGATGTTTTGCATCAGGTCTAAAAGTTCGAAAGGCTCGGGGG